ATAAATCAGTTAAATGACGAAAAATTAGGTGTCTATTTACTTGTGACCACTCAGTGTATATCTAATGCTGGTAACACTCAAGTATATTAAGAAACTACTATATGTAAAACCAAGGCAAGTTATTGTTTGGGTTGGTATGAAACTATCTCTTTCATTCAACTTGCATGGAATTAGAGTTCCTATCTGTGCAGAATATTTACAAGGTTGACCTATAGGCAGTAATATGTAAATAATAATAATTATCACTGTAGTGACATATAAATTATGATGTATGATGATCACTAGTGCTTGTAGTATACATAGAAGACAGTGTCTGTAATGATGGATTTATTCATTTTCCTATTTGATGCACCATCTTAGATATTATTGTCATCACAAAGATATGATACAAAAAACATCTTAAGTATCGTGATTTTGAAATCAAAATTACACTTTTTGTTATTATTTACAGAAAGAGGTAATGTTATACAAAAAACTTTTTGTAATGTTTGTTGCATGATTAAGGATTGTTTTAAGTGAAGAAGAACACATCAAAATCATTAAATGTAGTGCAATCGAAGCTTTTTCTTAGTGAAGTTGGACTAGTTGTTTTCTTTGAAGTAAATATTTCTTAGGTATTTTAAGAGCTATATCTGCAATCAGATCTGATTTTTAAGTTGACTTTTTTATGTATAATATTTCTTAATAAAATGCATATACATACAATTGTACTTTTTCAGTGTATTTGAGAAGTTGGCTTTCTATTGTGAAGCCTTCACTAATCTTATTCCACTGTCTTTCGTGCTGGGTTTCTATGTGTCTATTGTTGTTTCTCGTTGGTGGCAGCAATTCATGTCTCTTCCATGGCCAGATAAGTAAGTGTGGTAGATAACTTCTGTAAATGAGTATCATACAGTGTAAAGTAAATATTTTTCTGTATATATATTTGTTGTACATAGTTCTTTACATTAGATGTTTTCATGTTTCCTATGAAAACCGGTTAAAAAGTAGCATGTTTTTAAAGTGAACATCAATTTCTTAAGATCTTTTATATTTGGTGTAGCTCTTGGTAACAGTTTATTTGTATGTTTGTAAGTAGGAGCTAAATAATAACAATTTAGATATAAAAGAAAACTTATTGAGCTTTCAAGTTATACATAGATGATTAGTACATGACAAGCAGAAACTTATAAAATTTTATATATTACAGGCCTTGTATGCTTATATCAGCATATGTTCATGGTAGGGATGAAAGAGGCCGCATGATACGTCGAACACTTGCTCGTTATTTAAGTCTGCTTTCTGTGTTGACATTTCAAGGTGTAAGCACTGCTGTGAAAAAACGTTTCCCTACTTTGGACCACTTAGAGGAAGCAGGTATGGAGAGAATTGATTTATTCAAGGTTATTTAATATTTGACTTGTAAATTTCTGTAACACTACTTATTTGTTCATCTCATTTTTTGCTGAGTAATGTCATTTGGCTATGAGCCAAATAGATTAAAGATGTCACTATTTAGCAATACTATGTGTCAGTTGTTTATGTTCTAGGCTGTTCTCTCCTTTAAGTTATGGTTTGTTGAGTTTAGGATATGTAAAATTTTCCAGTAACAGAAATAGATTCATAATGTATAGTAAGCAGGTTACTAAGAAGGTAAATAAACTATCTTTCTATAAGTGCTTGTGTTCTTGAATTAATGTATACAAATATGAGTAAATAGTTTATTAGCTAATTGTAAAAGAAGCTCTTTCTGTTTTCTTTAGTGTCATAAGTTTGATCTTAATTTACCAGCTAATATTCTAAACAGAATACATCTCTCCTATTGGCAAATATTTTTGTTGTATTGTTCTACAAGTGCTATTTTGTAAAATCATGTTGAAAAAACTAGATCTTGCCCTTAATGACGTAAATTTTATTAAAACATAAGTAAACATCAATGAATGAAGAGTTTGAGTTAGAAGAGTTGTTGTTCAAAAGCAGTATTTGTATTCTATTGTTAAGTGCTAAGTACGTTCAACCACCTTTTGTTAGGCTTGATGACCAAAGAGGAGCGTACGGTGTATGATGAAATTCCAGTTGTCCATGGAAAATGGTGGATCCCAGCCCAGTGGTTCACAGCTCTGGCCATGCGTGCTAGGAAGGAAGGCCGAATAAAAGATGATATCCTTCTGAGTAATCTAATGAATGTAAGTTTTCAGTGTGGTACACTGTTTACAAGTACTATGAAACTTATGAGGTGCTTCTAAGATCCATACATAACACATTTTACATATATAATAAATGTATTTATCATTCTGATTTTATCAAAGTAAGTAGAAAATCCACATTGAAATCACTGATCTAAAAAAAAAAAAAAATGCTCTTAACTCATTACTGACCATCAAGTATATTGTAACTTCAAGTTCTCTATTTCAGAACTGTTTGGTATGGTATAGTACTTGGTATGCTTGGACTGTAACTCTGAGGGCTTGTGGTTTGCTTCACACTTTGGGACTGCAGGTGCACTATAAGAATGAAAGTCAAATTCCACTATGTTGTTAAATAAGAGTAGCCTAAGAATTGGCAGTGGGTGTTATTGAATAGCTGCCTTCACTCTAGTCTGTCATTCAAAATTAGGGATCACTTTGTGCAGATAGCCCTGGAGAATTGACCTTTGCATGGAAAGTTTAAAACAAATGAACTAAAATGATATTTTACTAACCTATAAATCTAGTAACAGTTGTACTGTGGGGTTAAAAAAAAGAAAAAAGAAATTTTTTGAATAGTTTGAGATTTCTACAATGAAATTGCAAATGTAAAAAAATATATAAGCATTTTATGGTACATAAGCAACCTTAAACAGCAGTTTATGGATAATGAAGTTTGTGAAGAAACATTTGTTTATTTTGTAACTTACAATAAAATACATTTTCAGGAAATGCATACATTTCGTGGGAATTGTGGAATGCTATTCAGTTATGATTGGATTAGTATCCCTCTTGTCTATACACAGGTGAGTGGTGGTTTTTAAGTACTTCAAACTTGTTATCATTGTTTTTTTTTGACATACACATACAAGTGATTAGAATTTTATTTGAGCTTTAATTTTTTGTACTTACCTACAGAATAGATCTGTCAAATATGAGATGTCTTTAGAAAACATTTTGAACCTCAGACTGAAGACTAGCTATATTCTAACTTCTGTAGATAAAATATGGTTAATTATCATTAGTAATGAAGTTTGTTTCTTTCTCTGAGTGAATTAAGCTTTAGTGTGGTAAGTCTTGTGAAGGGTGAGTCAAAGTGGGTGTTACTTCTAAGACTGATTTAGTAGATATCTAGTGTTCAGCTGGCACGCCTTTAAGTAATTTTATTTAGTCAAGGACAGAAATAGTCTGTAGGAAATTTACTTAACTGATTAGACCTTCAAAATGAATTCTGACAGAAATGTTAAGTCGCACTACTAGATGGCAGGACAATCTGTTTTCTGTTCATTTTGGCTTTCTTTGTTAGGCACAAAGCTACACTAGTCTGTCTGCTCTCTGCCAACTATGGGTATTGAAACCCAATTTTTAGAGTCTTAAGCTGTCACTGGGAGACATGCATTTTAGTAAGAATTAATGATAGAATGGACTAAATAATTGAAATTATTTATTTAATAAAGAACAGTTAATGCATAAACTCTCCATTCTAGTTAAAGTTTGTATTAAAGTGTGTTTTTCATCTTCAATTGCAAATAGTTTAGTTCTTATTAACAATTATATCTAACTGACTTTGACTATAATTGACCTTTCTAGCAGTAGTTTATAGATTTTGACTACATTTAATCAAAGTGTGTGAGTAAGGCCTTTTAGTGATGATACAGGAAGGTTGATTTCTAATTATGAGATGGCTGGGCTTTTAAATTCTGTTTTTTCTTTGATTTCTTATAAAGACTTAAGCTAATTTTTTTTCATCTTGAACATGTGCTAGATGAAAACAAGATGATCACATTGATCCTGAGCTTGTTAAGAAAAAAATATTAGGAAGTTTAAAGAATGATAAAGCTCCTGGACCAGATATTTTTCCAAGGGTTTTGAAGAAAATGAAGGCTTGGACATTTGAGCCACTTGATACTATTTCTTTTGTAAGTCCTTGAATAGTGGGCAGGTGCCAGAAGATTGGAAGTCGACTAATGTTACTCATCTTTTCAAGAGTTGATAAAAATTGTCCTAGTATTTATAGGCCTATTAGTCTTATGTCAGTGGTGGGAAAAGCTTTGGAAAGTCTGATTAAAGATGCTTTGAAAAGTCATTTAGCAAAGTTTAGAATTTTTTTGGATAGTCAATATTTGTTTCATTAGAGGAAAATCTTGACTTACTAATCTTTTAACATTTTTTGATGAGATTACTGCTTACGTAGATGAGACTAAGGGTGTGGATTTGGTGTATCTCGGTTTTCAGAAAACATTTGATAATGTGTTACTATAAAGGTTTGTGAAAAATATGATCTCTATATATGTTGGTGGTAGACTGGCTCATTGAATAAAAAAAACTGACTGGATGGAAGAGAACAGAGGGTTGTTATCGATAGAGTTCAGTCAAACTGGTTTAGTATTACAAGTGGGTTACCTTGGGGCTCATTGCTAGGACCTTTGCTCTTTGTAATTTATATGAATGACATAAATGATGGAATCTTTATAAATATTATAGTATTGTCTGTTGTATGTACATGTAAGTACTTTGCAGGGTTTGGATGGATCTTCACCAAAATTGGTATGGAGGTTCATTGGGTCCATGGGGGAGATACATACAAATTTTCAGTTTTGCATTTTGTGGCTTTTATGGGTGTTCTTGCATTTTTTACTACTATTTTGCCCCCTGTTGATGGATCTTTACCAAATTTGGTATGGAGGTTTGTCAGGTCCATGGGGAGATACATTTTGCAGTTTTTATGGGCATTTTTTACAATTAGATATAAGGGAAGCAACCTTTCATGTCCTCGGAGAACCTTTCATTGATCATGGATTTGCATAACTTTCATCCAGAGGATGGGTACTCCAGCTAGTGATCAATAAATTTAGACTTTCTGATGCTATTAAGGTTTTGGTTGTTGCTGGCTGTGAAGAGGATGCTACTGCTTTACAAAAGGATTTGGATTATTTGGGAAGTTTGGCAAATATATAAATGTCAAATGGCTATTAATTATAATAAATGCAAGACAATGCGTGTGAGATCCTAGTTTGTATTATGAGTAGATGGGAATAACTGTAAGGTGCTTATAACCCATTTTTTGGACATTCTTCTTACTTTCCATTGCAATTTCTTCAATGTAGAATGAAAGGAAAGTTCATCCAACTCTTAAACTTTTTGGCAGTAAATAAAACCTTAGTGAGTGATCTAACTTGTAATAGACAAAGGAGTGGACATAGTAGTCAAAGAAGTATCACATGGAGTTGAACACTGTTCAGTTGAAGCTCTTGTAGCTTCAGCAGAGTGAAGTTGGTAAACAGTCTCAACATTGTTATAGTCTTTTAAGACCAGCCACTTTATTATGCATTGAGTTTTGTGTTACAAAAATTTAGAAAATTACCACCAAAGAGGTTGTGAATTGCCACAAGTTGTTGTTAGAGTAGTTGCTAGAGTAAGATTTTAATTTTCAACCCAAGATTATGATTTTTAATACCATTTTTGAGGGATATGTAGGGGTGTTTTGACAAAATGTGTTGCAGAAACTGAAAGCAGACATTTAAGTAGCAAATATCCAATTTTCCAAAAAGGGGTGAAAAAAAATTAAAGAAATGGGCTAGAAATACTTTAATAGTGTTATGGAAGTAAAAAAAGATCTTGTGTTCTAGTTAATCAGTTTTTAAGCCATCCAAGCCACGTGCTGTTGCTAGTGGCATGGCAAATATGATTTTAGGTTGTATCTACATAAATATTAAAGACAAGTCTAAAGTGGTTATAATTTCATTGTTAAGGCCACGTTTAGTGTTGTGTTCATTCTTGGTCTCTTTACATTAGGAAGGACATTGTTGGAAAGAGTTCAGTAGAGAAACACTAGGATAATACCTAAGATGGATAGGTTGTCATACAAGGACAGACTGAGACTTCTGAAATTGTTTTCTCTTGAAAAAAAGAAGAGTAAGAGGGAATGTGAGGTGTTTAACATTAAGGGTATAGATAGTGTTGATGCATCATCTTTTTTCATAGTTATTGGTGAGAGTAGTATGGCTAGGGACATAAATATAAATTTGAGCAGGGTTGAGATAAGATAGCTTTGTTTTTCTAACAAAAGTGGTTGACTTCTGAAATGGGTTGCCTTCAGATGTGGTGAATGCAATTAATTTAAGGAAGTATAAGAGAAGGCTTGATAAATATTTGAATGGCTGGCTTTGAATGTTTTATTTAAAGTTTAGTTCAGTGGATGGGATGGCCTAGATGGACCTAAAGGTCCCTTGTTCATAAATTGTGTGTTTATGGGCCAGGCCTAGTGGTTGGCATGTCTGGACTCAAACTGAGATTTCATTGTTTAAAACTCCCTGCTACAAAAATGTGCTCCATGCTTTGAAGCCATGTACATACTATAAGAGTGACAATCAGATCTCAGCATTTGATCATACAGGAGTAGCCCAAGAGTTTATGGTGGATTCTGTTAACTAGCTGCCTTTCCTATAATTTGTCAGTTCAGAATTAGGGATAACCATATTAAGATAACCTTTCTGTAGCTTTGAGTACAATTGTTAAAGAAACAAACAATCGTAGATTCTTTATCATGAATATTATTTTGTTGTCATGGCTATGTTTTGTTAATGTAATCAATATAAAATTTTTATTTTAAATCTTAGTAGAAATGTAGAAACTGTAGTCTTTGTAGAAGGTATGCATTTTCAGTAAAAACTGGAAAATATAATTTTTTTTTGGGGGGGGAATTCTTTTTACTGCCATTTAAAAAAAAACAAAAAACCTCTTAATGCAGTAATCTGAGTTTCTAGTAGACTAAGCTAGAAAAGCTAGCTTAACATTTTATATTTTCATATTTGCTTACAGAAACTCACAAAGATTTCTATTAAACTATATTCATACACTTCACTGTACAACAAATACAAATGTCTCAGTGTGTGTCACAGCCGTACTATTTTCTTAAGTCTAACTAGCTGTTCAGATTGACTCACTACATCATGACTCAGTGTACACGTACAATTTTAACAGTTATGTAAAACAATAATACCAATGAAGTACGGTAATTGTTTGTAAAGATTGTTTATAAGAGCACATGGAAATACACTGATGACTAAACATCAATTATTTTCTTTGATAGGTTGTGACTTTAGCTATTTACACATACTTCATTGCATCTGTTATGGGGAGACAGTATTTGGATCCTGACAAAAGATATCCTGGATATGAAGTAGATCTTTATATTCCCATATTCACAATTCTGCAATTTTTTTTCTACATGGGATGGTTAAAGGTAAGTAAAATGACTTAAATTATTATAAATCAGAAGTGTAACATGTGAAACAAACATCTACTTGATTTGTGATTGTGAGCTGAACTCAACTGTAATTGTGAGAATTAGTAATACTCTCATTTATTGAGTTGCCATTTTTGTGTTGGTTAGATTATTGACAGTTTTTTTTGTTGTTTAAAGACAGTTTTTGTCTATGAATGAACAGCTGTTCCAGGAAAGTTTTTGGTTGTGTGTTGACTATCTGAAAACAATAATTTAAACATGACCAAAAGCTTTCAAGGAATTGTTACTCGGATATCAGTTAGATTACTGTGAAAATAACATATGAAAAAGTATTTATGAATGAATTTTTATTCTAAACTCACTTTTTAATGTTTGTTTCAAAAGATGGCACTGCACTATAAGCACAGAACTATTAACCCATATATTATAATCCCCCTATTTGCACAATTTGAAAAAGTAAGTAACTTTGACTGTCTACATTTATCATAGTATAATTCGTAAATATTATAATGTTTTACCTCTAACAGTTTGAAAACTAGCTAGTTTTATTTTGTACTTGATCAAAACGTAGTTTTAAAAAAATATTAAGCAATTTTGAAACAATGAAAACATTATTTCTAATTAATAGGTAGCAGAACAGTTAATTAATCCTTTTGGGGAAGACGATGATGACTTTGAATTGAATTGGTGTTTGGACAGAAACCTTGTGGTGTGTATGCTTTCTTATAATTATAGTATGTATCTGTCATATGATTTCTTTTGACAATGAAATATATACACATATACAGTATTTGTAATGCACCAGCTTTTCTTCTTATCATTAATAAGAACATCTCATAGGTGTGGTATTAAAGAACTACAAGTGACTGAAATTCATCAGTTAATTAATAGCTTTCATTACTTATACTTGTACCCCTTTTTATATAATTATTGATGTTTTTTTGTATATTGTAAAACTTAATTTTCTGTTTATTTTTTATTTTCCACATTCTCTCATTTCTTAGGACTAAAACAAAGCTTTTTAACTGACTTTAATAACAATATTCAAGTAAAGTTGTGCTTTTGCTTTCAATTAATATCCTTGTTTTTGCTATTGTTGTAGTTATTTCTAATGATTTGGTGACATTATAAAAATTTGTGCTGGTTTTCTAAAAGTTTAACTGTACTATAAAATAAGTACCACATGTTGTGTTTAGTAACCTTTGTGAAATTTTCTTTCCATTTAGATATCATTCTTGATAGTAGATGAGATGTGTCAAAGACATCCTCGCCTCATCAAGGATCAGTACTGGGATGAACTGGAGCCTCAGCTTCCATACACAAAATCATCATTTGCTCTTCGCACTCAACCTCACTTAGGCTCTGCTGTCAACTTAGAGTAAGTTATCAGATGATGTTTAATAATTCTGTTTTGTTTTACTTTGATTATATTAAATGATTAAGAAAAGTTTTCCCAATTATCCTTGAAAATCCACTTTCATATCATTTATCTTGATAAAAATCTCTCACTGAAATAAAGAGATCTTGGTTATGACTAAAATAATTTTTTGTTGGGTTTTAGAACATTAGTATTTAAAAAACTTAATAGTTATGTATTTTGAGCATTACATACGTTTACATTCTTCTTTTGGTATTGTTACCAAGACACAGTTTTAGACATAACTATATGTTTGTGTTTTTAGCATTAAGTTTTTTTATGTATTGTGGAAATTATGACAAGAGAATGTAAATAGCAACTGTTGTATATTCTTCTCTTGAATTGTAGCATTAATCCAGAAGAAGCTGAATTTGTTCCTATGGAAACCATCTTAGAAGAAGATGGTGGACAAGGAAACATCTACAATAGTCCCCCAGTCAGTCCCAGCACAGAGTTGCTTTATCCAGGTTTTCCTCAACCTGAGAAGCCAACCACTCCAAACATTGATGAAACGGGATCTCAGTCAGGCATGAAAGTCTTCCCAGATTTTCCTGGAAGCAGGATTTTAAATATGTTGATTGGTCACAGCAGTTCTGAGAATGTTGCACAAACCCCTAAAAAAGAAGGAAATTTCATGCCCACCTTCACACTGAAAACACCATGTCGAAAATTGCGTTCTAGTTCCATGAATGATAATTTAAAGAATCATCAGAATGAGGTAAATTGTGATCAGCAGTTAGGTGTAGGACAGCAAAAGTCCCATGGGGATTCAAAATGGGATGTTGTAGGGACAACTGAGGAAAGAGCTTCACTCATTATAGATATTCCTGCTGAAACAAATCCTCCAGATGGCCCTACTACTTTCTCTGAATATTTATTCACAAAGGTGGAAGGCATTGAACCAATCAAAACTGAAGAGAACACTGTAGATGAAGAGAAGAAGACGGCTGTACTTGAAGGACAAAATGATCTGTCTAAGGATACAATTGTAGATGTTGGCTCTGATCCTGATACTCCAACAGAAGTACGATCACCATACGAACCATTATCTTCAAGAGAGAGTCTTGCTGCTTATGTCGAGAGTAACCAAAGCACCATCAGTAGTTACACTCAACTGTTAGGGAAACAGTAATTATTTCTTTCTCATATGATTGCCTGAAGTGATGATTTGAGAAACATGTTCATATATTTGTGTTTTCCTATGATGTTCATATACAAGCTATATTATTTAAATCTTGTTGCTAAAATACTAATTATAAATTATTAGCAACTAACTCTGGCTATTTGGTGTCAGTTAGATAGTATTCCTTGTCTGAAAGTAATAACAGAGCAAGCTGTTTTAGTTGAGATTGATATAGAGCATTATCATTTTGGTAACTGTAGAAGCTAGTTACTTTCTTGGTAACGTATGAAATTAATATCTTTGTAACTATAT